CGGCCCGACCCGCCTCGCCTGAGGGGCCGGGGGGCGGCTGCCTCCGTCCCCGCCTCGCCCCAGCTCGGTGAGGTCGCTCTTAGCCCGAACCGAGAGCCCGCCTTCCCGTGTCCTGCCCTCTGTGACGGTGGGGTTGTTTTTTCCTTTCTGAAATAAAATTTTAACTCTGATCTGACGGTAACAATTTGTGTTTTATAACTGATGTCGTTTATCACCCTATCGCGTGTGACGTGTTAGCCCACTGTCTAATAGCCGTTTCTTGTAGGTAACGTTTCGGACAAGAATCTATCACTGTAATATTAACAGCCAAGGCGTCATCTGCCTGGACATTTTAAAAGACAACTGGAGTCCAGCATTAACCATTTCTAAAGTTCTCCTCTCCATCTGCTCCCTTCTCACAGACTGCAACCCGGGTAAGTCCCCTGCGCTGTGACAGAGGCCACCTGTAAGGTTATACCCTGCCTGGCATTTAAGTAACTCGGCCTTCCTCTACATCCTGTTGGTTTCAGCCAGTAGCTCTGGCCCCTGGCATGGCAGGTTTCTGCCCCCAGAGCAGCTGGTGAGGGGCTGGAGATGGTGAGTTTGATGCACCCTCCCTGCCCCTTGTTCACCTGTCCTCAGGCTGAGCTGCAAGGAAAGTGGCAGTGCCCCTCCTGCAAATTAAAAACCTCAAGTCAGAGTTGGTTTGGAAGGGAAGGGAGAGGGGTTAAACACTCTTCACTGGCCTGTGCCCAGCACAGGTGTGAAACTGTAGTAATTTGGTAGCAGATGGAGCTATAAAAGCCACACACACAGAGTTCTGAAAATGAGCAGAGTAGCTATTTACTTTCCACCATCTATTTAAATACAGTTATACCAACTATGCCAAAAGTAGTCCCCACCACTCCCCCCCCCTTACCCCACCCATTATCCATATCAGTTAAGAGGAATGTGTCTTTCTTTACAAAGTCAATTTTACAAGTTATATATCTGTGTCCGTAAAAGATGAGGGAAACATCAGATAGTTCATACAATGTTATGCGTATTAAAAAAAAAGTTTAGAACGATTAAACCTCTCCTTGTCATCTGATCAGTCCTAGAAGCCAGATTTGTATTGATACAAGTACACTTCGCAATAAGTATCTCCTGGAGAGTTTTGGAAAAGGTAAAATAAACCTGAAACACATGAATCAGTGAAAACCTTCATGCAAAATACGACTATTGGATTGTTGTCTTTTTTAAACTTCTTAAAAATTTAATTGATATTTGCCTCCTTATTAAGTAATGGATTAATACGGTGCCAGAAATACACACAAACCGATGAAGATAAAACAATCCAAGTGTACTAAACTGGTGTTCTGTAGTGTAGCTTACCTATGTGAATTCCTTTAGGATTATTAAACTTACACTTCAACCTTTATTTTTTAAGTTCTTATTCACTACCTTGTCTGAAATAAGTGATATATTTTTCTTTTCAGCTGACCCCCTGGTTGGAAGTATTGCCACTCAGTATATGACTAACAGAGCAGAGCATGACAGAATGGCCAGACAATGGACCAAAAGATACGCTACATAAATTGGATTTTTGTCAAACTCTTGCATTATTTGTCTGTGATGGAAAGAGCTGCTTATGATTTTGAAGGGGTGGGAGGAGGGAGGGTGCTGGTAAAGAGTAGGGTATTTCTATAACAGATTTTATTCAGTCTTTTATTTCCTAAGATTTTGTTGTTGTAACTTAAGGTATCTTGCTACAGTAGACCGCTAGAATTGGGAATAGCATATTTTAAGACTGTAATTAGTTCAGCAATATTAGCTCACATATAGTACCGAGAAGAATGTAAACTTGTTAGACTTTTTTGGTTTTCAGTTTGCTTGCAATATGTAAAAGAGTAAAACAGCTTAATTTTGTACAGGTACATATGTTGACATTTATGTAAAAGTCCTTTCAAGACTCTACACACTGTTTTTGCTTTTTTGTTTTGTTTTTGGTTTGGGGGGTTTATTTTGTTTTGGGTTGGGTTTTTTGTAAAAAAAAAAAAAAAAAAAAAAAAAAAAGTTGGGATTGTTTTCCCCTATGGACAGCACATTGGTATTTAACAAATCCTTTTTAAAGACTGTCATCTCATGATCTGTGATAGGGAGAAGTGGATATATGGCCTCATATATGAAATGAGAAGTAGTTAATGTATTATTTTATAAGCCAATCTATCTTTGTGAAAAGAATAAAGGTTTTAATCAGGACTTATGGCAACCTGTAGTGAAATACCTTAAGCTGTTTAACTGTAAGGCGTGGAATAGGAGTCACTCAGTGGATTGGTTGTGTGTTGTGGGCTACTTAAGTCTGCATTTGTTACTGTGCTAATAAAAAGATGTTTAAAAAAAAAAAAAAAGGACGACGACAAGACTTCTGCTTAGTGCCCTGCTTTGTCATTTTACCAGAACAGTGCCTGTCAGTACACTTCCAGGATTACAATACGGGTAAGGACAAAGACAAGGGAGCTCTGCAGATGAGTGCACTGACTGCTTCTGTTTTGGGGAGATGTTTCTAGATAAGTATACAACGAATGGCAATGTAAGAATTTTTCAGTTGCTTCTTGTGTAGGTCTTGGGCAGGCCCACATGGCCCGTGAAGAGGCTGCCTGCTGCAGAGTCCTTGCTAGTTACTTCTTAAGTTACATTTTCACAGCATTAGCTTTTCAGGACTGATATTTTATTCAGAAGTACAGATGGAAAAGTGTAAGAGATTAGGAACTGTCAAGAAAAAAGGAAGAAGAGACTGGTTTTCTGATGGAGTGCTATTCTCAGCTAGAAGAGGAGTAAGGATAGTGTCCTGGGTAGCTAGCAGAAGACAGCTTAAAGGAGAGTAAGGGAGGCTGAATCTCTAGATCCTTTAACTAGCTACAAAGATTATCTCCTAGAGATACACTGTTTGCACTGAAGTATGTAGCAATAGCAAGTAGTTGTGAATATGGTATTTCTGACCACTCCCTTAAGGTAATAGCAGGAAATAAAGACTCATTTTTCACATGGCAGGTACTTCACGTTCCAACACACTTCTGAGTGCTTGTTCTCTGAGACTTATTTCAGTATTTTAAAATAAAAATCTGTATTTATTTGATTTACTTACTTCTCTATCTGTATATAGATCAGATCTAATTTAGTTCAAAATAACTTGCTAATTACAGGTGCCCTTCCTTTGCTAGGTGGTGGTAGGTGGTAGTATGTTAGCCTCGTCTGCTAAAATGCCTTTTTTTTTGTTTTGTTTTGTTTTTTGGACACACACTGTGTTTTGGTGTATAAACTCCCTCAGCTGTCTGGCTCAGCCTAGGAAAATTAGCAGTATGGACCTGTATCATACCAAAAGCATCTTTGGTAAGGGACTTTCTCTTAAATTCATTTCTTTCTCCCCTTTACTGAGCAAGGATGTAAATGGCTTAATCTCAATAGGTTTTAGTCTGCTTCTTGCTTTGTATTACCGGTATGAGCCAAATAGACTCTTGTAACTGGCAGGGGGGAGGGAGCTGGTTCAGGTGACTAGTCTGAGCAACCTGCTTTTCGCA